AAATCTTCTTTTTCTACGCAGAAGTAGTAAGCAAATCCCAGTAAAAAAAGATTATATGTTAAATTTCAGAAGGACCAACAAGTAAATTATTACAGCTGTAAGTTAGAGATGTAAAGCACTCAAAATCTGAACATTCATGAGTTTTGCCAGAAGTTTCTTTGCTTAACTCCCAATAGACTTCATGGGAAATAACCATGAAAATCCCTTCTGCTTCCAAAAGAGTACTTACTGACCTTCCACTGCTGAATGAACAGCATGTGATCACTTTATGTATGCCACCAAAATAAAGTGAGTGTATTCAAAGTGAATTCCCAATTATCTGAAACTGGCCGTACTTATTAGATGTCAGTTTGCTGCCTTAATATATTACAGTGACATCTATCTTAATGCAGGACAACAAAAATTGATGGATTCACTGCAAAATGCATGTTTGCAAAGCAAATGTCATAAAAGCAAGGTGAAAGGCACAGACAAATAGACCTTAAATACACTCTCATTCCTGTAGTAGCAGCTGAGATATTTGTTCAGAAAGATTTCCACATCCTCTCACAGGACTGAGCTTTCATCTTTTCTTTATCTGCTGTGGAAAAAACACCACACCTTCTTCTTGTCCTATGTTTGCAGCAGCTACATTCATTTTGTCACGAAGAAATGAAAACTAAGGAAGTAGACTTCATGAGTGAAGGACTGCTTTTTTTCCTTGTTGAGCAATTTGATCCCTACCACCAGCTTACAGTAACTATTCCAGGTCTCATTACCAGGATGGAGAAGTGTGCAGGTTACACAGAACTAGGACATTTGCAATGTGTTTTATAAGTACTTATGTTTCTCTAAACTTACCACAGAAATAAAAGCATGTAAACTACACTGGTTCAAAAATCTCCTTCAAGGATCTTCTCACTGAACAGAACAGAACAGAACAAATCTTTCACCATCACCCTTCAGAAATTATTTCTTAAAACTGCTAGATCATGCAGTTTTATTCACATTGCAGCATATCTAAGCTTTAAGACATGATCCTGATTCAAAGTCTACTAGACCTGCATCTCTTTGTTCCTTTTAGCACTTAGAAACCCAGTGTTTAAATCTCAGCATATTCTTAGTACTAGTCATTATTCATCTTTTTTATATTGTTCAATTTCAGAAATCTCTAGGCATGATTTAAGACACATTTTTACAATAAAAAAAGGCATTTAGTATTGTTTTGAAATGTGCCTTACTCTATCTATTCATTAGGAGCCATATTTGAATATCTGTGTCTCCAGTTTAGCAGATTTTAAAGTAAAGGTTAGTGGGCTTAAGGGTCAAAAAAACACTTCAACTTGAAATTGTTTTGATATAAGCAGGTCCAGAATTGTACTCTGAGACTGCAAAGTGAAGCAAAAGTCTGACAGTTTCAAACTAAGGCTGTTAACTATAGCTCTCTTCTCCTCCTCCCTGTATCTACTCAAAGCTATCCCAACTCCATTATATAATTCACCCAAATTGGTCAAAAGTACATTTAAATCTAGCCTTGTGATTCCACAAATTCTATCCACTCAATTGCCTCTGGCTGCTTGTGATAGCAGAAAAACCCTTCTTACATTTCTACAACACACTTTTTCTTCTCATTTCTGTCTCATTCCAGACTGGCCATTAGGCTACCTTCCTCCTTTTTTAACTTTTCTTTCTCTGCCAGCATCATTAGGTTTCCTGAGGATGTGGTCCACATTTAATAACTAATCCACTTTGGCAAATAAATCATTCTGAGCAATTGCTAACTCTTTTGGTCTGAGAATTTTCCATTTGACTTTAGGTTGTCAGCATTTCATGATGTTCTATGGTTGGCCCTTTGAAAATTCAATACACCAAAAAGCTTGGGAAAAAAAAACTGTTCTCTTTTCAGTACAGAGCACGCAGGTTGAAACAGAGATATCTGGAGAACCCATAATATCAAAGGGAATTCATAAGTTCTACATAAATTCTTCAAATTGCCACAGTTTTGTTATGCATGTATATTTATGAGGAGATATTATACATAATAGAGATATACAGTATATCAACTAAATGTTCTGTTAGTTTTTGAAGCATAACATTAATACCAAAGGCAGCACAGAACTACCCAACAGGTATCTTCCTTGGCTGCATCCTGTACTGCAAGGAGCTGGTATGTTCACTCATCAAAGGAAATGAGTGCTTTTATGTTCAGGCACACATCCCACATTAGGAAAAGCAGATCACTAGTATTTGGATCTCTTATTTCCACATTTTATGTTAATAATAGAGAGTGAATAAGTTCACTGAACTTTAAAAAAAAAAAAAAAAAAAGCAAATATGTAACAAAATCTCTGCAATCCAGTTGTGAGATGGAGGATGATCTATGTGTCTTCCTCTCAGAAAAAGACCTTAGAAGAGTCCCACTTGCCTGTTCAAGGAAGGAGCAGCAGCAGTAGCAGCACTGAGGCCAGAACACATATAAATACTGCAGGAAGCCCACCTTCTGCATCACCACTTAGCACCAGGAGCTGCAATCCTGGAACACGATTTCATATCAATTCTGGATTCTCTGAATGTAAAAATAGAAGGGCAATGGCACTGCAAACAAAACAAAACAAAAAAAAGAAGTGAAAAGAGAAATTGATTATTGTGTCCACTGCCTAGGACACTTGCCTCTAACTGTAAGATATAGGTCTTGGCTGCTGCTCCATGGCCTGACCTGATGTAGTCAAGCAGAAAACAGAATGAAAACATCACTAAACAATTCAGATAGCAGGGATCAGATCCCATGTGTTTCTCCTGCCAGCTGAGTGTCTTTTTTAGTGCAGCACAATATCCTGTTGCTGCTCTGTTTTTTACTCTTTTCTTTAAATACCATTAGATATTCAAACATTGCCTAATTATATGCAAATACTAGTCCAATTAAGGACCAGATCTTGCCACTGCTAACATTAGGTTAATTAGTTCTGTAGGTGACATTTCAATAAAACATTCATTCTTTCATACCGCCATGAAATTCAGTAATAACTTTGGATTTAAAATTCCATTACAGAACTGCAATCATGCAGTTCTTCCTACTGTACCATCACAGTGCTGCTCTGATAGTATCTGCAGAAATCAACTCGTACCTCTTACAGATGACCTACCTTTATTGAGATAGGCTGTTTCCTGCATCTGCACCACAAGTGTCTTAACACTTCCAGTGTTCCCTTCTTCCAGCACATGAAGGGGCCCACAGGAAAGATGTGGAAAGAGTGTAGTGATAGGAAAAGGGATAATGGCTTGTAATGGTTTAAACTGAAAGAAGAAATATTTAGATCAGATATTAGGAAGAAATTCTTTTCTCAGAGGGTGGTGAGGCACAGGAACAGGTTGTCCAGAGATGATGTGAGTGCCCCATTCCGGGAAGTATTCAAAGCCAGGGTACAGTGAGACCTGTGCAGCCTAATCTAGTGGAAGGCGACCTGCCCATAGCAGTGGGGTTGGAACAAGATGATGTTTAAGGTCCCTTCCAATCCAAACCATTCTATGATTCTATAACATAGAATGGCTTCTCCATATTCTACCTATAAATGAGAAGATTTCATACTTAATAACCAACAAACTTACAAAAGGAAACCGTGCCACTAGGCTTTAGCTGCCAAATAAGTAGTATTAAACAGGTAGCAGCTGAGGTGACATGCAAGTACCCAGGAGTATTTCTACATTCTAGATTGTAAGACCTGAAGATCAGGAGATTTATTCATGCTAAATACTCACAAAGCCAGCACTTACTTCCATGCCAGATATTACAGACTTGACTCTTCACTGTTTGAATCCTAAGCATTGAAAGCAATTATCATTCAGGATAATATATTATTTTTAACCATTGTTTTGGGGTTTTTTTTGGTTGGCTGCTTGGTTGTGGGTTTGTTTTGTTTTCTTTGTTTTTCAGAGCTTTGAATCAATTCAAAGTCTGTATACTGTACATGTCAGTATTCAAATAGAAACTGAAACAATAAATTAGTAGGAAGTCTAATGCCTAGCTGTGAACTGACCACATCAGCAAAAATAAGTATTTCTAACACTGACATTGTTAATTTTTGTCCCTGAGCATGGCCTAAAATTTCTCTGAAAGCTGTCAGTGACAGTTATCCTATTTTATCCTATTATTTTTAAATCCCTTTCTTAGTATATTGCTAGAAATAGCAAATGCTATTGCCAAATAGTGTCTGTAATCCGACAACATGCTGTCCATTCATGGTTCACCTCTAGCCTAACCTTAAAGATGGCAGAAGATTGGAGATCTGATACTCTTAACTCTGCAAAAAGGGATTGAGATATATTGCTGCACACAAATAACAGTCCTGCAAATAGTTCTTTGAGCACTAGAAGTGGAGCAGTAACTGTGCAACAGAAGCAAGCGGGAGTGAGCATAGCTGTGATTCTGTGATTCTGGGAGCTCAGCAGTGTGACTATTAATCAGTTTGATATCAAATTAATGAATATATTCAGTCTATCTCAGAACCAGCAAGGTCTTTGGTTCTACTAGCATGGTGTACACAGAGGCTACGCATCTGTGCATAAACAAGCCTAGTCACAGAGTTTGGATTAGAAAGGGCTGTCCCTAGCTTGTTCTGAGAATGCAAGTGGGAAGAAGGTAAACTCCACGGCAACCTGCCAACACCTACATTCACAAAACTTCAGAGACCTCGCATGCCTCTGAGATCATGTACCTTGCTTCACTAAAACTTCACTGCAGGCTCAGTGAAAAGGAGGAGATGTGCATAAATTTACTTAGTCATTATATAGCTTTATGATAGAAAGTATATGAAAAATAATGAACTATAATCACTCCTCTCATTAGGCCCCAACCACTTCCTAATTATCTCCAGTGAGCCAACAGCACAAAAAGAGATGGGATAGAATAGCTTTACATAACTGGTATAGCAACATGCATAGCAAACATGAGGCTTTCTGCACTTTGTACTGGGTGCATAAAAATGCTGGACAGAGCTCAGATGGAAGAAGTCAGCCTTCCCTCACCTCTCGAGCATTTTTAGGTTCCTCTCTCAAGGCAAGCAGTCTCTCTGTATAATGTCACCAACCCTATTCATTTTGCTCCACAGTGTTCCAGTGGCATCTGTAATGGTGATAAAAAAAACGGGCTCTTGAATGCTGATTGGCACTGCTAATGACCATGACACTGCAGAGTGCTGTGTGTTTCAGCAGTGGCTGGCTTATTTTGAGTCCTGACTTTCCATTTAGCAAAGTAAACCAAGAGCATGACATAGCCTCTGAGTAAGCATTTTACTGAAACTCAAGTGTTAAAATAGAACAGACCAAAGGACTATCAAACATAATACCTGGGAAGGGGTGAGATAGGCGAACAACAAAAACCAAACACTTCTTTTGTTTAAAAAAGAAAATGTACATGCTTTTGTCAAACACTGGTTTCTACAGTTAGTAGACTGCACTTCTAAATTCACTGATTTTTGCACTGAAGTACACATACACAGCTTTCTAAGTTAACAGTCATGTGGTGCTGACTTGCATTGGCTAGAAATCTTACCTGGACTGAGGACACCTCCCTCTTACCCACACATGGTCAGAAGGGTAGCAGAAAGTAACCTCTGTAACAGCAGGCAGAGAGGAGGCCAGGGGTGATGGAGGGTGCTCATAGCAGTCCTGGGTCAGTGCTCCCACCTCCTTTCCTGAATTCTGAATCTGAAAGTCTCTGCTGTTTTCACAGCATGTTGCTTTTGTTCTAGTGGTAAGGTGCATGCAAAAGTCACACAGCTCACCTAGGGTGACTTAGTCATGAGTTCATAACCATGCTTAGCACTGGTCCTTTCCACTGCTTTGGCTGCTGAATTGTACCACTACGATGACTTCATATAACTGTATGTCATACACAGAAAAAATACATGAGCGCAGGGAATGCATTTACAGTAGTTGAAAGATGCACTGCAATATAGCTTACAATAAATTTGTACAACTAATAGGATTAATTAAACTTCAGATTAAAATACATTAAATACATGAGTCGTCACTTCTGTGAGACTATCCCTAGTCTGTGCAAGTGCTTCAACAAATCCCATCTATTGCGTTTGTAAAGAAAAGGTATTTTATTTCTGGCAAGGGAGAAAGAAGAAAGATTTTTCCTCCCATTCCACATCCAATTAACAAAACATCAACGGAATTTCTGGCATGTGAGGAGAGCAGACAGATAGTGGACAGACAGCACAAACTTCAGTAAGCTTGGCCCACATTCTCTTCAAGTACTGGTGAGAGGTTCATTCTCCTCCCCAGAAATACAAGGAATAACAAGAAGTGTCCTCCCAAGGTCAGCAGCTCAGGACCTCACAGAGGACTATGCTGCTGCTCATACTAACTAAAAACTGTTGATGGAATGAGAATTTTAATACTGCCCGCTAACAAAACTGCAAGTGCAGTATTACTCACATTAAAAAAAAATGATACATGGGTCCACAAAATAGGGTTTAGTCTCTGTTTTGCTATTTTTTTTCATTTGAGCTGAAGAAGTTATTCAAAAATTTAATTTAAAATATGACATTATTTATATGTACAATTTATGAAGAACCCAAGATGGCAAAATCAGACAAATATTCTCAACCATTCAAAAATATTATCTTAACAAATCTATCTGCTTGGAACGACTCCTTAAGCTACTATAAGGTTCCTTTTATTATTTTTATACCTGTGAAAATGCACAGATCACTCTGAAAGTAATGCCTCCTCTTTATTTCCATGGAAACTACAACAGATACAAAGAGCACAATAACACTACTTGACAGAGAAAATTCTCAGCTACAAACCACTGCTTTTCAACACTGCCACCACAATTAGCTGTTCATTTTCACCAGCGACGAACAAGAGCCTGCATGCCGCACTCGTAAACATCTGCATTAGTGGAGCTGACCCACTGCCACTGTCACCACAGCAGAAACGCACCACCCATTGCCTCACTGTGCTCACACCCACTGGTTGGTCTCCACAAACATTCGGCAAGCATCGATGAATGTCAGTGGGTGCCGTTTTTTCCTCATGGAGGAATTCAGTGACACAGCGTTGCTTCACGGCACTTCCACGCCAGCCGCCATTTTGTCAGCCTGCCCCTCTGCTGCCATCTGTTGCAGGGCAACAACAGGATACTGGCGGAAGGTTCAATCTACTGCCAACGTCCGCCTCTGATGTCATGGGCCAACATCATAAAATAGGAGGCTTCACTTTCTGAGAAGCCTTGTAAATCACTGATTTGCATAACTGTGGATGTGAGTATCTGTATCCTTGAGCAGTTTTTATTACCACTCCACCCTGGCTATGAAAATAATTTGGTAATTCTTCGATACAGAACAGCACACATATGGTGCACAAACCACAAAGGCAGCGTGAACCTCTCTCTCTCTAAATCACATATATATATAACAAGGCCAACTTTTACTTCCTTTGCTTGCTCACACAAATAAATAAGCAGTGCAAATTCATATAGGTAATTATTTATGGACAAGGTTAAGTTCATTTGCATTTCTGACTATCTGATAGAAGTGAAGTCAAGTCCACACTACCTAAATTGCATGAAAAATAACACTATAATACTTACTTATGTAGTGTATCTATGAAAGCCAGATGCAAAAGATGCGTGCTCCATCTCTCAAACATAGTTCTAATGAAAAGAAAAAAAAAGCCTTAAAAAGTGTTTAGAAGCCTGGGAATACAGATAAATATCTGATGGGATTTTCAGAAGCATACTGGTTTCTTTCCATTACAGTCACACAAAGAAGATATTTCCTTCTAAAGACTGTGTATTTTCAGAAGATAACCTTTTGTATATTTGCCCTTAAATCTTTATTTATTCCTATGTAAATATACAACACAGATCAATGTTCAAGAACAAAAATTAAGTTTCAGAGGGCACTTTTGAAACAGTTTTAAAATATGTCATTCAACACCTCTGAGAAATATTTAAAAAACAACTAGATCTGGCTAAAAATTAATAAAAATAAATTGCAATAATTATCCATAGGAATTGTTCTTGATAGTCATATGAATGAAATTTTGCTATAGGAGAAAATAGGCATCATTGAGAGGGAGACCACTTCAGACATCTTCAGCATGGGGGGAAATTTATGTCTGTGCTCAGAACCATCCAGGAGCCAGACACTACCAACAATGTCTTTACTCTGCAAACACTTTACGAAGCACAGGAACCAAATATATTGCAGGTGAAATTCTCCACTGTGCAAGGGTCTTTCACAGGTCTCCGTATTACATAAGTCCTACTTAAATACTATTCTAAAGTTGCACAAATCTACAGCACTGGCATGAAATTTCCCTTGGAAGAATTCCTTGAGCCCTTTGAAAAGGATGTACTTTGATAGCATCTATCACAGTCTCTTAAGCAATACATAAATCTTCTGCTGGCCTCTGCACTGAGGTAGGTACACCTTGCAGAGTGTCTTTCTTGTTCTGAAGAAATGTCACAAAATCCTACAGTGCTTTACAGTTTGCACTTAACAGACTGAGCAGACATTACATACTGCCAAATTTCCAAACCACCAGTAAACACATTAGTTTCTGAAATAATCAAGAGAGCAGAGGCATGAATATTTTACAGGCTAGCCACTCACAGCGTCTGGCCCTGGACTTGAAATCCTCATTCTGCTGAAACTGGTGAGAGTTGTTACTGACAATGGTGAGGCCAATATCTCACTCCATCTTTTCAACTGATAGTCACTCGTCATCACTAGCCCGTGCTCCAGCCCAATCTCTACCTCAGACTTCATGAGTGAGATTTCTCAGTGCCAGACTTTTCTAAAAAGTCTCTTCCATTCTTAGGAAAAAGCTCAAGACAATGAGAATTGCCTACCAAGCATGACCAGCTTGCTCACAAATTTGACACGATTCCTCAAAAGAAGTCAAGTGCCATGCACCCAAACTACTGCTGTTTCTTTACAACAGCGTTCAAACCATCCACCTTGCAGGTTCCAGAATTCCTGATTACCTGGCTATGCGTACCCAAGTAGAAACCTCATGGGAATGAGCTGCCTTGATCTCCTGCCGAAGACCAAATACTGCTAGGTATGACTTTCCAATAAGGTGATCCTGATCTGGGAGTGGATCTAAAAGGTCCAGTTCACAGCATCCAGACCCTCATTTTTTCTCAAACACTGTCTGAAAAGAAAATTTTAACAGTCGAAATATGGGACCCTTAGTTACAAACAATAATGCAGAGTAACTCACCTGTAACATTCTACTCTATGATTCTTTCTTTTTGAAAAGGTAAAAAACTATTTAAGGACAAAATGAAAGAGCTCTGTACTATAACTCTCAATGAATTTACAGTAGGTTTGCCCAAACCTGTAAATACAGGAAATATTTTTGGCTTTCATAGTCTCTACAGAGTGTCCTAAACAATCTGCTGTTAGCTCTCATGGGGTAAGTAAATTCTCTTGCTCCTACTCTTCACTTGTACTCTGTCCTCTTCCCCTTCTTTCCTGGGGAAAAGCACACTTCTGTTCAGAAGGGAGAAAAAGGTATTTACCTTCCCAACAGTAATTGTTTCTTTCCTCTGAGATGCTAACACGGCACACAGGTTCTTTTTCTTGCCTTTAATGTTGCTGCCCTTACACTGAGGAATGGGCCACTTACTCTGAGTTCCTGATTCTTTCTTGTTGCAAAGCCCCAACAAATTCTGCTGGCTACCCTAATTGTAGAATCACAGAATCATAGAATGGCCTGGGTTGAGAAGGACCACAATGATCATCTAGTTTCAACCCCCCTGCTATGTGCAGGGTCGCCAACTACCAGACCAGGCTGCCCAGAGCAATCATCTCACTTTGTGAGAAAGGCTTCCTCACTATTCTTCTTCTGTTCCTTTCCATTCTCTAGAACTGTTGTTCTGAAGAATAACTCAGAACAGAACTGTACATCTGTCCTTAGAAACTACTGCATGACACCTTTTTTGGAATGATGACAATGACAATAATGTCATATTGTTTACTCCTAAATACAAATCCTAAATTAAGCGTCTACAAATAGGCTCTGACTGTGAATATACTATAGCTGTCCTGTAACAGATATGATTAACCTGCTTCCTAATCCCTAAAACTTAAAAAGTGTTTTATTTTTAAAGCATTCAGAGAATTCTTTGCTGTAGTAAAAAGGCTGTTCTTACCAGCTTGGTAGTCATTTTCTTGTTCTTCACATTTTAACTTTGAGAATGACTATAAAAGTCACGGTAGATGTAGCTTTGTGTGCACATATTTAACAACAGGAGTAACTGGAAAACAGCTGGAAACATCTTTGTAAAAGGGAAATTAACCCCAAAGATGAGCCACCAACCCAACTTCATATTGATTACATTCACGGAAAAAAAGAAAAAAGTATGTGGCAACTGAGCTCTGTTGAGTTTTCTGTTCAATAAGAAGACATGTGTGAAACACTGCAATTTTTTGTTTTAAGTAACTGAATTGTCCAATGACTGCAGATCTTTGGGCTTAACCGCACTGCCACTGAAACCAATCTTGTGGTTTGGCCCTTAATTAAAATGATTTTTAGATTGTGACAAAAAGAACCTGAACTTTGACAGCAGCTTTAAAGATACCTGTAGTCTACTAAGGGTCTCAAAGACACGACGCACATTATGAAGGCCCCCCCACAGGTCTATTCCCCTGAATAACCTGTTTTGATTCAACTGGAAGATTCCAGTGAGAAAGTTACAAGGAATGGCTGAGGAAAGGGGGTTGTTCAGTCTGGAGAAGAGGTGGCTCAAGGATGACCTTATTGCTCTCTACAGCTCCCTGAAAGGAGGTTGTAGTGAGGTGGGGGTCAGTCTCTCTTCCCAGGCAACAGCAATAGGATGAGAGCTAATGGCTTTAATTTGTGCCAGGGGAGGTTCAGGCTGGATCTTAGGGAAAACAACTTCTCAGGAGTGGTGAGGCATCAGTACAGGCTGCCCAGGGAGGTGGAGGAGTCACCATCCCTGGAGGTGTTCGAGAACTGTGGAGGTGTGGTGCTGAGGGACATGGTTAGCGGACATGGTGGGGATGCGTTGATGGTTGGACTACATGGTCTTAGTGGCCTTTTCCAGCCTTAATGATTCTATGGTTCTAAGTTCCTCAGGACCCCAATCTCCCTATCCAAAAGAAGCTCCACAACCTCTTCCAAGCCAAAACAAATTATATTGGATGCAGCTCCCTTTTAAAAGCTATTTTTCTTGGATAAACTCCCACGCAGCCTGAAGGGGCAAGAGGGCTGAGGGACAGGCTCTTGCAAGGTTTTATTTTTTTTCCCCAAAACCTTCCCATTTTCTTCAGGTTGCCGGATAACGGCACCCCACACGGCTCTGCCCACCGGCTGACAGCATTTAGGCCGCACCCGCCACTGGTCCCTTCGGCTCCGTCCAGTGACAGCACCGGCCCGCTGGGCACCGGGCCCCGGCCCATCGAGTCGCCCCTCCGTCCGGCCCATCGCGCAGCGCGAGGGGACAGCTGGCCCCGCTGGGGCAGAGCGGGCTGACCGAGCGCTCGGCCCCGCCGCCATGCAGCGCGCCGGCATTTCTGCGCTGTTCTGCCTGAATTTTGCGAAAGGCGCTGTGCCGGCGGCGGGGTGGGAAGACTCGGGGGAAGCGCGGCGCCCTGACGACCCCGCAGCCAATACGCCTTCCCCGAACCGCGGCGGTTTCAGGGACCCCCCGCTCGGAGGCCGGCGGGCGGGGACGGGGCAGGGACCGCCGGCGGCAGGATCCGAGCGGGCGAGAGCCGCGCGGCGGCCGCTTCTTCGCCCCCGTTTCCAGCGAAAGGGGCGGGAGGGGGAGTTCAAAGGCACAAACAAGGAGCGCAGGACCAAATTCCTCCCCCTCCCTCTCCACTAACGGGCTCGGCGATAAATCCGGCTCGGCTACGCTTCGCGATGGGGACGTGCCGCCGCCTTCCCCTCGCTGAGGCGGGAGCCGCGTTCCCCTCCCCGAGGAGACGGCGGCTGCCGCGCCCCCGGCGAGCGAGCGGACGCCGCTGAGGCGCCGTACCCCCGGCCAGCCCGCCGCCGCCGCCGCGGTACGGGGAGGACCGTGCCGCTGCGACAGGGGAGGACGGGGCTCGGCGCGGGGAGGAGGCGCTGCGAGCATGCGCCGGGCGAGCCGCTGACTGGGCGCTCCGTCAGGGTACCGAGGCAAAGGAAAAAGGAAAGAAAGAAAGAAAGAAAGAAAGAAAAAGGGATGAGGGGAAGGAGGATGAGCGACGGCGGAGGGAGGCGAGGAGGGTTTTAAAGGAGGCCGGCGGGATCCCGCGGGAAGGAGCGGCTGTGGCACGCGGGGCTCTCCGGCACCAACAGGTAGGAAGGAGGAAGGGCTGGAGCGGGGCTGCCGCAGCCGCGGGTGCGTGCGGGGAGCGCTCCGCGATGGCAGCGGACGAAGCGCGGGGCGCGCTGCCCGGCCCCGCCGCGGGGCTCCCGCAGGGCTCCGGCTGCGGCTGGCGGGCGGCGGCTGCGGGCGGCGCGGCGCGGCCCTGCATGGCCGTGGGCGGGGGTGCGCGGTGTGTGCGGTGCGTGCGGTGTCCGTGTGCGCGGAGGCAGGGCCGCGCGGCGGGGACAGCTCCGCGGAGGAGGGGAAGCGGCGGGGCCGGCGGGAGGGGGAGGGGGAGCCTGATTTCATGGTTTTAAAACGATGCCATGATCTGATCGGCGTCTGTTTACACGGCGGCGATCGGGCTCTTTCGCGGACGGTAAGAACGGAAGGATCTTGCCGGGGATTCAGCGGGAATAGGCTTTGCACGCCCGAGCTGGCGGAGCGGCGCTCGGTGCGGGCGGCGGGCAGCCCGGGGCTGCTGCGGGGCTCTGTCCCCGGCGCGGGGGGAGGAAAAAAACAACGGCGGCACAGCGGCAGGCAGAGCCCTTCCATTTATTTCGTTTTGCTGCATGAAATGTGCCCCGGTGCGCTGGCCGGGAGGATTAGCGGGCTTTGTGGAGCCCCGATCAGCGGGAAATAATAATAATAATAATAATAATAGTAAAAGATGCAGTCGATGTACGATATGTTTATTTAAGCATAGCCCAAAGCAGCCCTCCCCGAAGGATGGGCATTATGTCTTGGGTGTGATGCCTGTTTTGTCTCGGTATTTACATCGAGCGTTGCTTATTCCGAATGATGTCGAGGCTTTAAAGATTTGCATTAAAGCGGAGAGGGGGGGACCCTGAAGCACAGTGCCATCGGCTGCCTGGCGTACCTGTTTGTTTGGAAGCCGAAATGATGAAATTACGGTTTGCAGGAGGAAGGGAGGGAGATAATGAATACCGTTTCTCTTAGAATGTGCATGAACTAACACGGTGTGATTAATGTGCTTTGGTGACTCGGGTTAAAAAACATAAATTCTGCAGGGTTTCTTTGGGTGTGATCCGTATCAACACAGCAGCCGCCTCTAAAACACTGACAAATAGCGTAGCCGTAAAATAAACATAGGTAATGTCAAAATACCAGCAGCCGTTGGTGATTTTTTTAAGGATGTCAGTGATTAGCTCTTGGGCTCGCAAACTGGGAATCTTTCGATTCATAAAATCTCCGAGGCTTTGACTGTAGAATGACATACGCTACCAAAGCTAAGGGGCACTGGCCAGTTCTGAGACTGTAACCAGCCAGATCTGTGAAATGCCAGTGATCAAACATGCTGAACAGTATGTATGTATGCATGTATGTATGAAAGCCTCGTGATTTTTAAAAACAAACAATAGTACTCAAATTTACAACTTCATTTGCTTCTCCATAAATTACCATCTTTGTTAGCACTTTCTGACATCATTTCTTGTTAACTTAAGAACTGATAGCTCGATTTTTTTTCAGATATTTTGATGGCATGACAAATCAGAACGAAGAGGATGTACTGTATGACTAGACACCAGATCAGTTCTGTTTGTGGATTACATTTTCAGTAAGATGTATGGATCTATTTTTTCCTTCTTCTTATATATAGATCATGAGACTTGACTGAGGCAATATACATATCATCCATCCATCTATGGCGAACTACAGCCATGCAGCTGACAACATTTTACAAAATCTCTCTCCTTTAACAGCTTTTCTGAAACTGACTTCACTGGGTTTCATAATAGGAGTCAGTGTGGTGGGTAACCTTCTGATCTCCATTTTGCTAGTCAAAGATAAGACCTTGCATAGAGCTCCTTACTACTTCCTGTTGGATCTTTGCTGCTCAGATATCCTCAGATCTGCAATTTGTTTCCCATTTGTTTTCACCTCTGTAAAAAATGGCTCTACTTGGACGTACGGGACTCTTACTTGCAAAGTGATTGCCTTTTTGGGGGTTTTGTCCTGCTTTCACACCGCTTTCATGTTATTCTGCATAAGCGTCACCAGATACTTAGCTATTGCCCACCACCGTTTTTATACAAAGAGGCTGACCTTCTGGACTTGTTTGGCCGTGA